CGAAACATTAATCTGATATTTGAAACATTGTAATGGGACCTTTCAGTCTATAAGAAAACTTTTAGGACTAAACAGTGTATAAGTTATTAATTTGGGATTTATTGGTGCATTCCCCCTTTTTTTTTAAAAGAAAAACGTACCAGAAAATATAATTTGTATAAAAACAGAAACAAGATTTTAACCAAACAACTTGAAATCTGCAAAAATACAATACCCGAATTTGTCTTAAAATTGTAAGAAAAAACTCTTTATGTGTACTGTGTGAAACACGTAATCATTGCACCAACTATATTAGCAAATTATATAAAAAAAAATATGTGTTTAAAACAACGTAAATTGTTTGGGTAAAACCAAACCAAACCAAACCATATATAGAGAACTATAAATACTTACAAACAAATTATATAAATCTAGAATCGATAACAATTTTATCGAGGCTTGTGTTAGACACAATTTTTTTAAGACAAATTCGTCCCCCGCTATGGTGCTTACAAGTTTTTATCAGACGTTTGTCTTCCAAAATACAACGATCGAACCTTGCAGAAGAAGCACTACCACAGTAAATCTGGCAAACCTTACTGTAACAACCATCACCACTGTCTATCGATAAACTACTAATTACTGCTAAACTGAGACTGATTATGAAAAGTAATTGAACTGATTGAAATACTGAACTGACTGACTGAAATCTGAAACTGATTGATTGACTGTATCTGTTTAAATGCATTATCTATCTGTTTGACTGTTTGATTATCTGTTCATATTTTATGTTTAAATTGCGAATTGAAGGCCTTGTCGGCGGCCGGATCCGAAATTGATCGATGTTTTATGATCATTAGAATTTATATGATTTTATGGTGTAATTATTTGAAAACTGATTAGGTATGATTAAATTAGATTAATTAAGGTTGAATAGCATTGTTAGGCTTATTTACAATAGTGCCATTGTTAGTGGGCCATGTAGGCTAAACATATTTGAGCCTTTATACACTCAAACAAACATTTCATCAGCTCATTTCCTCACCACCACCGAACTAGAGAGAGAGAAAGTGAGTGAGTTGAATTGTCCTTGTTGATTTGCTTAGAAACTTGTAGGAATTGAAGTATAGATTGCAAATTGAGCTTGTGTATCTTGCATTGAAGACCTAAGGTAGATCATTGACCTTCTTCATTGTGTATTTGAGTTTATTCTTGCATGATTAATGGGTCTTTAGTGATCTAAGGCTTGAATTGGCTCAATAGTGTTGAATTAAAGCTCAATTGTTGCATGCATGCTTATATCCTAGCATTTTGAGGTTTACTACATGGAATTTGGTACATGCATGTTCATATTGTTGGTATAGTCCATAATTTCATCATGTTTTGGAAAGAATTGGCTCAATTGAGCTAGTTTTTGAAGCTTTGAAGTTGTTGAATTCATGCATGTTACACATTCAACATGTTCTTGAAATGTTGGTTGAAATTGGGTTTAAGTCCCTCACCTTTGGGCCTTGATTTTACAAATTGAGCTTTGAATCATGTTAAACTATGAGTTTTGAAGTGTTTTCCAGGAAATGGGCCCAAAAGAATTGAATTTGATACATTTGAAGTTGAGTTTGAGCTTGAGGTTCAAATCTGGGAATTCCAGATTTTGAACTCACGCTTGAGCGGAGTGACTGGCGCTCGAGCGTGAAATTCGTGCTCCCAGTATTTTGCACTGTTTTGGTGTCTGCTCAAGCAGGGTAATTGACGCTCGAGCGTGACCTTGTGTCTTACGCTCGAGCGGATGTCGAGCGCCCAATCGAGCGTGATTTTCACCTATCCAGCACTTTTGACTGTTTTGCAGTATGCTCGAGCGTCTAAGTCTGCGCTCGAGTGGAAACCTTTGTCTACTATTCATTTACTGTATTGGCTTCCGCCAAGCCCTGTACTCTGTTTTACTATTCTACTGTTCTGCAGGCCTTCGGTAATCTCAGATTATTGGCCGGTTACGGTGCTAAACCCATAGGGCCGGGTTTGGGTCGTGACAACTGTTTTGCAGTACGCTCGAGCGTCTAAGTTTGCGCTCTAGCGGAACCTTTGTCTGCATTTCCGCTCAAGCGGAGTAATCGATGCTCAAGTTGGAACCCTGTTTTCTGAAAATTTTGAAAATGCTTTTAAAGTGCATCTTTGCATCCTCATTTCATCCTAGGCATTCTTAGGCCTAGTTTAAGGCATCTTAATGAGGATATAGATGTAGAACCACACCGAGTCAAGATAGGGATTAAGTTATTATCTTTCCCAACTGTGTAGCTTAGTGTGTGTTCAATCTGTAAACTGTGTAGGGTTGGCGACTGGGGACGCGCTCTAGTCTAATTGTAGCCCATAACTCTGTGAGTTACAACTATGTAAAGATATGTTCAAAAATGATTATCCTCTGAACAATTAAACTGTACTGTTTCTGAATTGATACTGTTAATAAAATGAATGTATGTCCTCTATTCTGAACGATATTGTGGCATTCTTAGCAACTACTGTTACTGACTGTTACTATTACAGAGATTTCTGTCGATTTCCTTGTTGGAACCACTACTGTTTACTGATTGATAGCCATCATTGACTGTTCGGTCTTTCAAGACTTACTGTTTACTATACTGTTATGTTAATGGATGTACCACATATGACTGTACTGACTGAACGACTGAAATACTGATTTAATGAATTGTTTTCATTACTGTAAAGACATTCATTCTAAACCTCTTTACGCATTATGTTATTCACTGGGTTTTAGCTCACTGCTCATATATATATGTAGGTGTACAGGCACCAGACCGCGGCTAGTAGCGTCGGGGTAAGCTCCAGTTTTGTCAAACCAACCATTGTGCCTCACTGCGAGGTTCTGAGCCTGTCAAGCTATGGCTTAGGGGTGTTTTAATTTCCCCCGTCTGTCTCTGTAACTGTCTTGTTAACTGTATAGACTGTATAGACTGTTACTGTACTGTTTAATAGGGATTAGGTCCCTGATCTGAATGATTATAAATGTTGTACATACTGTTCTGCATTGTGTGTATATATATATGTATGCATGAAAAGTCTTTTTGGCATACAGACTGTCACAGCTCATTGGACATTGTTTATTTACTGTATTGGCTTCCGCCAGGCTCCTGTACTCTGTTTTACTGTATTATTGTTAAGCAGGCCTTCGGTAATCTCGGATTACTAGCCGGTTACGGTGCTAAATCCATAGGGGCGGGTTTGGGCTGTGACACTTACTGTGCAGAATTCTCTTATAGAAAAGACAAAGTGCAGAAGGAAAGAAACACAAGATGAATTCAATTCAAAATGAATACAATGGGGCCTATTTATATAGATGACATGGTGGCTCTTCGAATGGTCATGGTGACTTTTCAGAAGAGTCATCTCTTTTCCATAAAAATGTGCAACCAGAAAAGGCATGATTGCTCTTTCAAAATAATTCAAATTTTAAATCGAATCATGTTCAATTTTGACCCAAAAAATTAATGAATTTATTTAAATAAAATCTAATTTTACATTTAAAAAATAGTCTTAAAACCATTCTCAAATGGTGCATTTTGTAGTCAATTTCTTATTCAACTATTAATGGTTTCCAAACTATATTTCCAACAATTTGCCCCGAATATGTATTTACTGGTTGGTAACATACTATTTATGGGGTGTAAATTTGGCCCACCGCTTCTGGTGCGGTCAGTCCAGGCTCGTGCTTGAACCCAACCCCAACCTTGGGCCTAGGTATGGGCCGTCTATTTTGAAGCTTGACCTAGCTCGTGAGCCCGAACAACTAGGCCCGACACATCGGTCCACTCAAGGCATGACTTGAGGCTTGCCCCGCCCTGCTTGAGGCCCTATGACATTTTTTGTAAAAAAAAATTTTTAAAAAAATGTCAGGCCTGCCCCAAACCCAAGCCTAGGACTGACCCGCCCGAGGCTTGACGACCCCCTGGGCCTGGGTTTGGGCCTAAATTTTTTTTTCTCGTGGCCCGATCAGGTCTGAATTTTGATTGGAGCTCATGCGGCCTGACAGTGGACTGGGCGGAGCCAAATTGCCAAATTTACACCCTTATTGGTAATGTTGTGTAATAATGTCATAATATAATCGTTGTACTTAGGCCTCGTTTGGGGATTTAAAATTTTAGTAAAAAAGTAAAAAAAATTCACTATAAATTATGATATCACTTTCTTTACTTTACTATATGTACGGGGAGCAAATATTCCGGCGTGCCCGTATTCCTTTCTTCCTAGCTCCGTCGATATCCGATCACCTGCGCACAAATAACGGTGAGCTACCCGGCGGTGTGTGGCCAGAAAAACCCTCCGACAGTCAAGTTAGCACACCCCTTAGAGGGAATAGAGAGAAGGGAGAGAGTGTTTGAGTGTAAGGATTTCTTACAGAGACGTTCGTGTGTCGCGTATGGGGGGCGCAGACATGCTTATATACCTTCTGAGCCCCATATCCACTCCCAGTCATCTCCTGACACGTGGCTCTACTATCCCATCTGTCAGCATATACCATGCCATTCATCACCTAACCTCAACTGCCCGTCATCACAGTTGGAGCTCGGCAGCCGAGCTGCCCTATCCGTAGTCGTGCCATGCCGTGCTCCATACCCTAGCACTTTCCTGGCAAAGTATATAAGGGGGGCCGGGCTAGGCGGCATCTCGGCAAAGCCTAGCCCGAAGCACCCCGTGGCCAGCTTTCCTGCCGGTCAAACGGTAACCTCGGTCGACCGTGCCTTTCCGGGCACCGGACACTCGGCTTGTCTGGCTTCGGCTATCCTCGGACCGAGCAACCGGGTCCGACCGAGCACTGCCTTGCCGAGCTGCTTCTTTACGGTCCGGGGCGGGACGCGCTCGGCCCAAGTTCTGCCCGGCCCAAGCTCTGACAGCCCATCTTTGGGTGAACAGTCGATCATCTCGGCCAAATGCACTGCTGGGCTCTCAACTTGCTCGGTCGCTACCTCGGCCCAACACCGGATCATAAATCACCCTCTCACTATATATCTTGTTATAAAAAATTAAAAACCAACTAAAATAATCAATTCTCAAACGAGGCCTTAATATTTATTACATAATTTTTTATTTTTTTTGATTTTGGGATGATGACAAGCACTAGTTCAGTTTCTTGCACGACTCCGTTGTAGTTCTTTCGTTTGTGCTTGAGTTAAACAACCATTATTTATATTAAATTTTGTCATTGAAGAACAAGAAGTTGGAAAATAGAAAATTAAATTAAATCAAAATTAATAAAGTAGAAAAATTAAGTAATTTCAAATCATAAAACTAAATAATTTTATACTATTTATACTAAATTAGAATACTCGTAATTAAAATATTAATTTTAAAACAATAAAATTAAAATATAAATTTTTAAAAATTTAATAGGCACCACATTGTCTCTCACCATTTTTTTTGGTAACAAAAGGACAGACACTTTCATGCTGTTTGAACTTGTTTACTTAATGAGTTCTACTCATTTTTTTTATATTTTATTTTACCTATCAGTATCCCAAAATACTTTCCCTTCACCTTCTTCAGTACTGTTGTGTCTCCCTCGTCGTCGGCGTCCACCTTCAATCTCCAGTGACATTTATTCAACCGTTTTTTGGCAAAAAGAATGTCCACCTCTACCACCACCTCCTCAGATCTGGTGGGAACAAAATAAAGAGAAGGAGAAGGATAAGGAGAATGAGAATGAGAGGGAGATGGATGAGAAGGGAAAGAAAATGGATAGTTACGAGCTAGTCCTGTGAACTGGACTTGTTGATTAAAAGTCTTATTAAACATTTAGTGATAAATTTATCACTGTAAAATATTTTAAAAAAAAATACAATTCAACTATTTACATTTGCCACATTATAGTTTTTGAATAAATTATAAATACATCCTTGAGATTTTCTTAAAATACAATTTGCCTCTTGTAGTTTTAGAAATTACATCCTGGCCCTTAAAGTCTCTAATTTCATAACAAATAACCAATTTTATTACTAAATCATCAAGTCAATTAACATTTTTTAATAATGTTAAAAATTTAATTCACTTAATAATTCATATAATTTTATCAATATATAAGAGAACAGTTAGAAATTTTATTTATTTTTTAGTTAATTCTATTAAATTAGAAATACTAATAAAGGGGTATTTTTAATTTTCTAAACCACATAACAAATTCCAGGGGGTATATTTGTAATTTACCCTACATTTTAATACAAACTAATACAAATAGAGTAAAAATAAATCAATATTCACAAACAAAAGTCAAAATATCTTAATTATTTTTTACTTTGATAAATTTGTCAGTACCTGTAACAGCTTGGGTCAAAACCTGACTCTTTTTGCCTTTTCGTTTGGAGTATGTATTTGTTTTGATTGACTTTTGCCTTGCCTTGTCGAGATTTGGCCTTGGAATGCCTTGGAATAGCTTCAGAACATCGAACTAGAAATTTCTCTGCTAGGCGATCGCCATAACCAAAAATATGTCCCAGTACTTTGTCTATGAAAATCCTAGCGCCCGTGAGAGTGGCCCGTCACTCTCATGGTTGCACCTGCGATGAGTAAGGTCACACCTACGACGGTGTCATTGGTGCCCGCAATGATCAGTCCATTTAAGACTTGAATGCACGTAAAAATCCACTTTTTCTGCTCATTTCTCTCCCTTTCTCTCACTTCTGCCATTTTTTTAGCTCTCAAGCTCTTTTACCCTTAGATCCATCAACTTAGGGTCAATGTCACACTTCTACATTTTATTACCTGACAATATTACCAAGTTCCTTATTAAAATCCAATTACATAATACAATTGCGGAAACAAGAGAATAAATGAATAGATAGTATTGTTCTCTCTTGTATTATAGAAATGATGAAATACATTAATACAAAATATTACCATACATGCCCTTAGGCTGACATCACAGAATAAGTATCTCTCTCGAACAGACATACATTCTCTTTCCAATACATGGGCACTTTGCCAACAATTAATCTATATATATAAACCACCACAAAACTCCTTGATTCTTTGCTGATGCCTCTGAAGCACCTGAAAATTTTTTAAACAACATGAATGAACACAAAGGTCCAGTAGAGATTTATAATAATTCTAAACAATAATCCCTTACAGATAAAAATGATTATGATGCTCGATATTATAGGTATATAAGTAAGGTATCCTTTTTATATAATCAAAATACATATTTACCTCTCAAAGATGATCCATTTTTAACATCACCAGATAATTCATTTCATTTCTTACTCTTACTAGTCATTTCTCGTATTTTGATAAAAACAATTTGTCAACTCCATCAAGTTTCACCAAAAATGATTTCATATATAGCTAATTACATTCTTGCTTTAAACATTAAGTCATTGACAACCCAAAACATACTAATTACATTCATCCATTTTTCACTACATGTCTAGCACATACCATATATCATTCAACAATATAATATTTTAATATACTCCCACATTTACCGGCCTCCGCACGAAAGGAAATAGGGCATCTTTCAATCTATTTAAAAATATTGACTATGACAAGTCACCAAAATAGTCTCACATTTTCTGTCCCCACATGGATGGACAGTTGGGCTCCTCAACCAAGTATCTTTCTATATTTGTCGTCCTCACACACATGGACACCTCAAAACATTCCCCAAATTTAAAGTCCTCACATGATCGGCCCGTGGGCACCTCAAAACATTTTTCACATTTATCGTGCTCACATGATCGGGCACATGGGCACCTAACTTCCCGCACAGGTAACAATACCATACACAACATATGATATAATTCTTAAAGTATCATCACAACATTCTAAATACACAAATAATGTACACACATAATACTCATGGCCTATTCCATAACAATCAACACCATACTTCCCTGATGGCCAAAGACCAATCTCAACATAGTATATAATACAAACCATCAAAATCAAACAATAAAATTCTCAATATATCATCAATATCTCCCAAACATTTCAATTCCTAACATAACTCATTTTCTTAGGCACATTGTTAAATAATTCAAACTAGAGCTTGGATTAAATTACCATGAACACAACCCATTAGTTAGTTATAAATCCTAAATCATCAACCTTCATGACGTAATCCCACTTCATAAAAATCATTTCCTTATTTCTCAAAAGAATTTCCTATTCACAATAATTGGTTTGATTCCATAATACAAGAGTTAACCAAAATCTCATTCTTCATATTATTTAGTCAATCAAATAATTAGGGCTGTTTATTTAAAACATCAAAATCAACTTTCATTAACATCAAGTTCTCAAAATCAACTTTAAAACATAAGATGTACACTTTGGATTCAAAATCCTAACTCACATCTATATGCCTTTCACAAATCTCCTTTCAAACCATGGTTTTATGTAATAGAAAAATACCATAGCAAGATATTGAAAAGAATCACAAAAATCTCTACCTCTTGAAGCGAAGAGGAGAATCCAGGAAAATCAACAGTAACGAAATCACAAACTTCTTGGTTCGAGAGAAAGCCCTCGGCGAGATCTTCAATCTATTCCAAAGGACCAAGGCGAGAGGATGACCCGAAGTGAGTAGATCTGAACATCTAAGTGAAAAAGCTTGAGTTTTGGATAAAGAGAAGCTCACGGTGTAGAGGGAGGAAAAGAGAGAGAAAGAAAAGGTAAGGAAAAGAGTGTATGGAAGTCTATTTATAGTACTTGGGCAATAATAGAATATTAGTCCCAAAGTCAACCAAAAGAATAAGTCAAAAATCTCTAAAAATAATGTGGCTAAGATTTTCTGAATTTTATGTGCAGTGGTGTTTCAAAATATGAATAAAACAGATCGGAATACCTTTTACAGATGGACCCACTGCTTTCATACCTGCCAAATGCTTAAAGGATGAGATCTTAGAATGAGAATTAACCACATTCGGACGAGTGAGTCTTAGAGTGGAGGGGGAAGGAAAGAAAGTCCGATTTAGGGGAGGTACACTAAGGTGTTGTTTGGCAACTCATTGTTGTAATCTAAAAGTCAAAAAGCCACTAAAAAAATTAACAAGCCAACAACCTATACCAAAAAGTCAAAGATTTATTTTTCTCTCTATTTTTTTCACATCTTTTGGTAAAAAACTAAATAGTCTTTCCAAATATATTAATTTTTTTACCTTATATTTTAATCAAAAAACTAAAAAGTTACTAAAATAGCCTATTTCCAAATGAGGCCTAAGTAAGGTGATTAGTTTTGTCTGACTGGGTACGGGTCGGGTTAGCGACCGTGAAGCAGTTCTCCTTTTTTGATAGGGCTTTCAAGGTATAGGCTCTGAGCCTGGTAGAACAAGACCGGAGCCAAAGACCATAGTGTCATTTGTTTTTGGATGTTGCATTGTATGTTTTAACATTAAATGTTGGCAACTAGTGTGATTTTTTTTGGGGAAAGTTGACCCTTTTTAACTTTTGAAACAGAATGTTCGTGTGTAACGACAAGCTTACTTGATGTTCGCAACAACATGTAGTCCGTAACGTTCTATAACAATGCAATGGCTTATGCATGTGCACATAGCACACGACACTCTACATTATCCGTAATGGATTCTGCATTTTAATCGTTATAACCATAAATTTATGACAATCAAGGTGTGCATATTATCATCCATAGTAAAACCACAAAGGATGTATTATAGCTTGTTGAGAATGTCATAAAATGGTTTGCTCCCTATTCCTTTGGTGAGAACATCTGCTAGTTAGTCCTCAGTCTTCACAAATGGAGTACATATGGTGCCATTAGTGAGTTTTTTCTTAATAAAGTGCCTATCAATCTCCACATGTTTGGTTCTATCATGTTGAATTGGATTATGAGCTATGTTGATCGCCGCCTTATTGTCACAGTACAATCTCATGGAATCAGTCTAATGGATCCCCAAATCTCTCAATAATAGTCTAATCCATAGCAACTCACATACATCTTGAGCCATAGCCCTGAATGCTACCTCAGCACTAGATCTAGCAACTACATTTTGTTTCTTACTTCGCCATGTGACTAGGTTGCCTCCAACAAAAGCGCAATATCCAGAAGTTGATCGTCTGTCAATGACAGATCCAGCCCAATCCACATCAGTAAATGCCTCCACACTGAGATGTCTATGTTTTGAGAAATAGAGACCCTTTTTAGGAGAAGACGTTAGACACCTCAAGATTCTCATAACTGCCTCTAAGTGGAAATTTCTAGGAGCATGCATAAATTGGCTAACCATGCTCATTGCAATGGCAATGTCTGGATTTGAGTAGGATAAGTATATGAGCTTACCCACTAGCCTCTAGTATCTCCCCCTGTCCACTGGATCTCCCCTTTGATCCTCACTTAGTTTTTGGCCCGATTCTAGAGGTGTATCACAAGGTCTACCTCAAAGCATTTTAGTTTCCTTTAGCAAGTCAAATATATACTTCATTCGCCATATGAAGACGCCATCGTTTGATCCTCACTTAGTTTTTGGCCCGATTCTAGAGGTGTATCACAAGGTCTACCTCCAAGCATTCTAGTTTCCTTTAGCAAGTCAAATATATACTTCCTTCGGCATATGAAGATGCCATCGTCTGATCCTCACTTAGTTTTTGGCCCGATTCTAGAGGTGTATCACAAGGTCTACCTCTAAACATTCCAGTTTCCTTTAGCAAGTCAAATATATACTTCCTTCGGCATATGAAGATGCCATCCTTAGACCGAGCTACTTCAATGCCCAAAAAATACTTCAAATTACCCAAGTTTTTGATTTCAAACTCATTGGCTAAGTATTCCTTCAACCGAGGGATCTCCTCAACATCATCCCTTGTCAGAACAATATCATCAACATAAACAATAAGAGCTGTGGTCTTACCATGTGAGAAGTGTTTCACAAATAAGGTGTGATCAGTTGGACTTTGTTTGAACCCATATCTTAGCATAGCTTGAGCAAACCTTTCAAACCAAGCCCTAGGGGGATTGCTTTAGCCCATAAAGTGACTTCCAGAGCTTGCATACCTTACCTTTGGACGTAGTATCATCCAAAACCAAGGGGAATGTCCATATAGACCTCTTCTTCTAGGTCTTCATGAAGAAAGGCATTCTTCACATCAAACTGATGAAGTGGCCAATGCAAATTTGCTACAAGAGAGAGTGGTATTCTCACAAAGTTCATCTTAGCAACTGGTGCAAATGTCTCCTGGTAATCTACCCCATAAATCTGAGTGAAGCCCTTAGCAACTAGTTTTGCTTTGTACCGTTCTATGGAACCGTCTGCTTTGTGTTTTAGAGTATACACCCATTTACACCCAACTGGATTTTTGCCTCTAGGTAACTCCACTAACTCCCAAGTGTCACGCTTTCTGAGAGCTCTCATCTCTTCCATCATGACATGTTTCCATTTAGGAACGGAGAGAGCATCCTGAAAATTGTTAGGCAGACTCACAGAAGAAATTTTAGATAGAAAGACTTTATATGAGGGAGACATATTAGAATAAAAGACATGATTAATAATAAGATGCTAAGTACATGACCTAACCCCCTTCCTATTAGCAATGAGAATATCAAGATCTGAGAACTCAAGATAAGAGCATCAAAATCAGAATTACCTGGACTCTCAGGAGATGGGGATGATTCATCCGGGGGATGACTCTGGACACTAGCATCCTGAAAATTGTTAGGTAGACTCACAGAAGAAATTTTAGACATAAAAGCTTTATATGGGGGAAATAGATTAGAATAAGTGACATGATTAGTAATAGGATGCTGAGTACATGACCTAACCCCCTTCCTATTAGCAATGGGAACATCAATATCTGAGAACTCAGGAATAGGAGCATCAGGATCAGAATTACCTAGACTCTCAGGAAAGAGGGACAACTCTGGACACTCATCCGGAGAAGAAGATGGCTAGAGAAGGGAAAGTAGTCTCTTGCATCCAGGTGACTTCCTGTCTATCCTTGTCCCTGACATAAACTTTGCCTTTTCCTTTTCCACAACAATTGTTGGCTCAACATTCTCAATCTGTTCAACCACTAGTAGTAGTGGCACACGAATCTCTTCACACTAAGGCTTCCCCTAAAAGGATGACTGTGACATTGGAGAGGTTGGAAAGTAAGGCTGAGACTCAAAGAAAGTGACATCCATGGAGACCAACCATTTGCGAGATAAAGGACGATAACACTTATAGCCCTTTTAGGTGGCAGAGTAATCTAGGAAAACACACTTAAAAGACCTAGGATCCAATTTACCACAAGTGGGTAAATGATTATGGACAAAACAAACACATCCAAAAATCTTAGGGGGAATAGAACCTAAAAGACGTGGACCCAAACAAAACTTGAAGAAAGGTTCGTTTTTTAAGGACTCAGGTGAGAAGACGATTAATCAAATAAGCTACAGTGAGAATTGCTTCCCTCCAATATGATCGAGCGATACACATTTCAAAGGATAGACAACGGGCCACATCAAGGAGATAACGATTTTTCCATTCTGCAATCCTATTTTGTTGAGGAGTATTAGTGTAAGAAGTTTGGTGAATAAAGCCATAGGTGGCAAAATAATTGGCAAGACCAGAGTCAATATATTCTCCTCCATTATCAAAACACAAAATTTTGACAACCGCCCCAAACTGAGTGCAAACAGCTCTATGAAAGTTTTGAAACACAGAAAACACTCCACTCGTCTTTCATCAGATATACTCAAGTGGCCCTAGAACAGTCATCTATGAAAGTAACAAACCATTTTTGATCTGTTAAAGACAAAGCGTGAGGGACCCCATATATTAGAATGAATCAAAGAAAATGGAACTGAACTTTTATTAATAGAATGAGCAAAAGAAGTTATGTATTGTTTTCCCAGTTAACGTGACTCACACTGAAAATCAAACATATTATTTTTCTCAAAAACAGAAGGAAAAAGATGCCTAAGAAGTAAAAAAGAGGAATGTCATAAGCGATGGTGCCACAACTAAAGATTTTCCTTCGTGGATGGTAACTGAATAGATGAGTGAGCTAGCTTGTCGATCTGATCCAGAATGTAGAGATCATGTTCCTCTCTACCATTGCCAATTCTCTTCCTCGTGATAAGGTCCTGAAAAGGACAATGATCAGGAAAAAAACGTCACACTACAATTCAAATCACGAGTAATATGACTCAAAGATAAGAGATTAACACTAAAATTGGAAACATGGAGTATAGAGAATAAAGAAAGGGAAGATGTGACATGAATTAAACTTTTCCCTGACATAGACAAAATAGTACCGTCAGCAATACGCACTTTTTCTCGACCTGAGGAGAGTGTACACTCTGAGAACAAATTAGAGGAACCAGACATATGGTCAAAAGCACCAAAATCAATAATCCAAGGAGTAGTCTTATGAGATAGCAATGCACTTGTAGAGGAAGCCAAGTTACCTGAGTAGGAAAAGGAAGAAGAGGATGCACTGGAGACACTAGTAGAGGCTCGATGATCTAGCAAGTGGTGAAGAGCAATCTCAAACTCTAAGGTAGACAATCCAAAAACATCAGCAACCGGTGAGACAACAAGAGCTAAAGGTGGTGGCTCAATCGTGTCAGAAAGATGTGCTCGAGCATTGGCGCCTCGGCCTATAGACTGGCTGGACCTATCCCCTCTAGAACCAAGACGATCGCCTCGGCCACCATGAGGAGTCCCATGTAGCTTCCAGCAAGTCTCTTGTGTGT